ACCTAGTGATCACGTGCTTTCTTTAATTGTAATTTAACCACATGCTTCCTAATGTCACCTAGTTAGTTTATACCAAGTTTCATCAAATTTGGTTCAGTAGAAAAAATTCGGGTGTCAAAGGGTTAAATCGTAACCAAAAACCACATACGAGACTAGATCAGTCGTAAAGAGTACTTACCGCAGAACTTTAGCTTTAAGTTTGTAAAGATCAGACCTTTTTTACGTTAGTTGATCTAGGCGATACGTATTATGTCAGTCTTTAACATTTTGAGATAGTGCTAACGTTACATGAAGAAATCATTGTAAAGCACGAAATCATGTACTGTTTTGCTCGACCTTGTGAAATTGTTCGTTCTGTTCTGTCGTCACATGCCCACGAGAAAAGAGGAAAATAGACTCTTTTCGTTCTTTCTTGGCAACAAATAACAGAGACTGTATCGACAGTATGGCGTGATGTGAGCAAACAGCAACGCCCGCAATGCTTTTTTCAACACTTCAGTACCAATAGTCATTTTCTTCGTCCTTCAGAATTTCTCCGAAAAAGAATATGTCATTCGGCTGATTGCATAAGACCAACCTGTGTAGTCTTGAAATGTTTCACGAAGCTTGGGCAATGCTCGACGCAAATAGACGGAAAAAACCGAACCGGTTTTGTCTGCGAGAAAAATGTCATGATAAGGAAAGAAACAAGTACTGATGCATTATCCCACATGTTCCAATTATGAGACTAAAGTCCACAATGTGGTTACCTCACTTGCATAAATGTGCGTAAAACAACAGTATGAGATCGATGCTCGGCCAGTCATTGATAGAGAAAGACTTTTAACATGAGGGCGACTAGATAAGTTCGCTGATTAATGTGGCAATGTCTATTTTTAGCTAGAACTTGTACGAAAGTCACCAGCCGAACCCATCTCAAAAGTCGATTTTTCGCTGCTTTTCTCTTTCTCTCTTGAACTTTGTCTCTTCTTCTTCAGAAGTTTCAGAAAGTTGCTCACTCGAATGCTTGACGTGACGGAGGAAAATTGCCCGATTGAAATATTTCTGGAAAACGTTGATATGATCTACGGCTTTGGCCTGTTTTTCCTTTATCTCTTTTTCAACAGCACGGCATTCTCCTCGTAAACACTTACTTCAAATTGAAGTAGCTTTATATTTCTAAATCGATCATGAGTCGTAGTTTCTTAATTCGGACATTAAAAGACTGAAACAGCTTAGCGCCCGACGTTGTGACATTTTCTTCTTTCAACTTATTTGTTTTTAAAATACAATAGTTCCTCTAAGAACTAGTCATTTGTAATTTTTATCTTTATTTCTAGTTTTATTTATTTCTTTTTCTTCTTTTTTATGTGTGTGTATTTGTGTGCCATGGGATAGGCGTCTATAAGCCTCCAGCTTTTGTCTATGCCCTTTCTCTTTGCCACCGAGAATAAATAAATAAATAAATAACAATCTTACACTTGTACAGTTGCACACTTTAACACTTTTACATGTCAGGCTTACTTTTTGTACTTTAACAATCTTACACTTGTACACTTGTATACTTAAACACTTTTGCAATTCAACACTTTTATACTTTAACACGTCTACAGTTTAAGATTGCGCAGCTCTGTGCCTTAATTTGAAGTCGTTTTAATCGTTGTCGTGTATTCCATTGCGGGGTGCTACTGCGAACAGCTGTTATTTATCACGAGCTTATTTAGAAGTTATTGAGGACAGTTATTTGACCTGTCTGGCTGTGGTCTGTCACCGACGTAGTAGATGAAAGTCAGGTATTTTTTCTCATTAATTCAAAGAGTACGCAATAAGTAATAACTGTGATTCCTTGTTCAAAATGGTGAACTAGAACTTTTGTGGTGCTATATGCGCTTGTGTAATACAGTACGCTGTTATAGCACAATAATTTAGTAGCGCTGTATACAGTACGCTGTTATAGCACAATAATTTAGTAGCGCTGTATACAGTACGCTGTTATAGCACAATAATTTAGTAGCGCTGTATACAGTACGCTATAATAAAGTAGCGAAAGAATCTGATAGTTTAGAACGCGTTTTCCTATCATTTTTATCCAAGAAAAATATTCAGCCTATTTCAACGGACGGCGAATTCAGTGTTGAGATTGGCTGCAAATTACCCGATAAATATGAGATCACGTAGACTCATAAACTTTCGCGTGGTTTGATAGACAGGGATACTAATAACATAAAAGAATTGAGTTTATGTGTAAAGGTAAAACGCACAATTGATCTAGCGATAAATGATAAAGATTGTGAAAGGGCGCTAATGATGAAATTCTAAATAGCTTCGTTTAATCTGATATGTAACTTATATGTCGTCAGCTAAAAGTAGACTGACTTGCAGAAAACTGGCTTGTGCCGTATATGTAAAATAAATGATCACAGCAAAAGTAGAATTTTAAATTATCCACGTTGCTCAAATAAAAAATAAAATCGATTAACTGCAAGAAGTAAATCATGTGAGAGTGAAATAGACTAAAGTTTGATGCTACAGTGGCGAGAGTTATTGTGAGCTACGTGCCTGTTAAAGAACTGTCTTAAGGCCTTTTCGAACGAGTAGCAATACCAAGCTAAGAATGGAAACCATAATCGATTTAATTTTTAATTTTTTTTTATCACATTTCTGTCTCTTTTGTATTGCAGAAAAATATGATGGTAAAAGAATTTAATCATAACAATTAAACAAGTTTCGTACATTCCAGCCTCCCTACGAAATTTAACCATCAAACATGTAGTACAAGTTTTGACAACAAAAAAAAGGCGAGAAAAGAAAAGGCGCCAACAAACTTTTAGCAATAATGTATGTCATACATACACTCTTTCTAAGAGACCCCGGATGGCTGCTTTTGCACCAACAATTCACTTGGGATAACTTGGGATCCTAAATGATAAGAATGCCACGGTAAAATGCCTACTATTGTGCAATTTGTCAAATGAATGTCTAGAAAATGTCTAGAAAAAAAAATCACTGATTTAGGATAGTTGTAGCTGCGGAGCACATGTTTAAATTTTGTCAAGTACGAGAACATGCGCCCACATACTTCGGAATCAATTTCATCGAACGCTCCACCATGACACGGATTATCAGCATTCATCACTGTTTGGCAAATCTCTCTCGTATGGTTTCTCTGATGAAAACGATCGATGGCCAGATTCAAATCACGGAGAAAACGTCCAAACGCGGTGTCTCGTATAAGATCACTGCCAAACCATTTCTTGATACGCAATACCTATGTGCAGGCGTCGTCGTAGAGCATCGCAACGGGTATTTCACCATTTTTCCATACACGATAAAGGTGACGCACCACTCGACGCACGCCTTCCGCACGATGTGATTCGTCAAATCCCACAATCACTTTACAGTTCATGAACGTTGTCAGCAATCCAAAGCTTGTTTTCTGATTTTTTAGACAATCACCTCGATGTACGTTACATCCTTGATCACCCAATGTCTCTTGCAAGAATTCGACATCTAACTGTTCGAGGTGTTTGGCTTTGTCAATATGGATATGATTAACAGAATCACTTTCATTTTGTTCTTTTGATTTTGGAAGATGCATGTCGCAATAAAACTCTACAACACAGACAATAAATGCTAAAGAGTCATTGCCTAAACAGTTGAGGTACCTATGCATTAGCACGAGTAGGTAAACTATAAATACTTTCACAAGCATAGTGGTTCAATTTTCTAGAAGATACTCTCAACCAGAACTTTTTAAAGCGGAACCTGGCGTTTGCAATCTATGAGGGTGGCATAAGAAAGGAAATCGCAACTCCAGGTCAAAGTTACCCGACAAGTTCTAACAGAACCTCATGAAGCACTGGATGCAAAACGAGCTTCGCTTAAAACGCAATATGTACAGAAGGAACAGCAGTGAATAAGTATGAATGCACAAAATATGAGACTACCACGAAAGTCACTAACAATTTTTCGAAGTTTTCTTTGATTCACAAGTCTTCGATGGAAAATTCACATCATTAGTAAAAATGAGTAAAAACAACTGAAAAAGTGACATTATTTGTGCCGTTACTAAACCAGTCACCATCGATATCTGGTGAAATCTAACATATTTTACGGACGAAAGTGTACCCACACTTCGCTCAAACGAAAAGCGCCTAAAGAGCGGTAGGAAAAGACGAAAAAGAGAAAGTTCTTACTAGAGATGTGCACGGGTACCATTGGCGTACCCATACCCGACCCGAAAATTTTTTTTCCACCCGTACCCGACCCGACCCGACAACTTTGTACCCGTACCCGACCCGACCCGAGAACTGTGTACCCGTACCCGACCCGTAATCGACTTATACCTAAAAGATTTCTCCTTTTTATTTTCCACACTTCTGATGTCCATCAGTCAAAATTGCTTGCGAACATTTTTCATGATGAAATGGTGACACTTGCTTGTGACGCGTCCAAAAGGCGACAAACAAGGAATACGAGTATTCTTTATTCGATCTAAAATAATTATTGATTTCAACGCTTGTTGACTCTAGCGATGATGCTATTTCAAAAATATCGTTATTTGTCAATGTCGTTATTCGTCATCGTTATTATAATATTGGTCTCAATTCATCAATCGTCACATCACACACTGCATCAACAATGCTTCTTTTACACGTCTTTGGCGACTGGTCTCATCAGTCGAAACATGCTAACTTGTTCAGTTTGTAGATAATTTCAAGGGCTATCTAATCGTGTGTTTAGTTAGTCGTATGAGCGTACGAAAGTTGAGAAAAACAGGTTATACTTATCATGCAGGTGTTGTTTTGAGGATGCAGATTGGGTTGGTATTGTAGAGGAATTAACAGGCTTTTAGTGAATAAATGTATTTTCTTCTTCTGACCCAGTGTAGCACGGAAGGTCGAATCAATATGACTTCACAAGAAAAGGGATTTAAACAGAGCTAAATTGTCATTTCAATGCAAATTAGAGCAAGAGGGACTACCAAAAACTCTAAAAAAGTGTTGAAAATCAAAGAATTGAGGTTTTTGGTTTTTTTTCGTCATAAACGGTAAATTTCCAAGTGCTTTAGCGACATTTTCCTTTGAAAAACTCACAAAAGTTGCGCGCATGTAAAGTATATAAATCATTTTTCACTTTTGATTTAGAAAGGGTTCATACACCTAATAGCTGAGGATTTTATATGTACGAAATCGTCAACGCTAATATAATTTCTATGAAATCCGCACAATTTACAAAACAGTGGAAGTTTTCGTTAACATTATTAGCTTCAAATTTCTTTTCTCAGTTGATTCTTCAAGAGCAAACATTTCTCTACAAAATGAGAGGGTCCTTGACTCTAAGTAATTCTTTATAGGCGACTTATAACATGTGTAATGTGAAAACAGACATGGAATTTTATTTTATATCAAGAAATCTTGCTTCTTGTACAAGATTTCAGCTTAAATCGAAAAACAGGGAAAATCACAAATTTCAGGATTGAACAAACTCTCTCTCCGAGGAGTCTTTTCTCAAGGCAGTGGGACACTAATTTCACCATGTTTTACCCGGCTTTCTCTCAGTTCATTTCACAGGGATTGACCTCAAAAAAATAAGTACACAGGAATTTTATTCACATTTCTAAACTCTCTTACATTGCTCTTTACTCTCAGTTATCATTCAAGTTATTTAAATTTTTATTACGTATATAGGCGTATCTTCACTCGAACCAAAAATATATTTTTTCTCTTCGCATATGTTTTGTCACACAATAGGACTGCGACAAATATCATTTCTCTTCTTTTTAACGTTTTATCTCTGTTATAATGTGAAATATATGAAACACGCTTTTCTGTATGTTCTCCACTAGTTCTGCTTACACACCACAAGTACTGTGAACACAATGTAAAGAGAAAACGAAGAGTTGATAATAGGATTATAGCAAATAAGGAGATATCTCTTCTCGCACAAGATAGAACGTATACAGACATCGCCTCACATTTGTGTTATCTTTGCACGACACATAGTTTTTTTCTCGTTCCCAGAACGTGGAAAGATCAATTCAGCATTGTTTTCTTTCGCCGTTCTATTCTTGCATATTAGACTCAAAGCCAAAACAACGCTAAGCTGCAGAATAGAAAAATGTAACATAAAAGAGATACGATAGACGAATTCGTGAGTCGTATCCAAGCACATTCATATTTGTCTGTCGTATTTAAGCATATCTTTTGTTTTGTGTCACATGTTTCGCTAATCAGTATTTTGTGGAGAATTTGGTTTGAACAGTACTGATGAAGCAAACAAACAAAATAACGGGATATTTGTAGAATTCTGAACTACTGGTGTCCTTTTTGAGACATAGGTGTTGTTGACGTAGCAGTAACGGTAGGGATGTTTGAATGTGATCGTGTTAAAACAATATCAGTATCATGATCGTTATCGTTATTGAATAAATGAAAAATGAAAATAATTGAAGAATCTTAGACCTGTAGCAACAAATGTAAATTTACGATCTTTCTCTTCTGTTTTGTTGTCTTGTTGGACTAATGTGATATAGTGCTCAAAAAAAGAAAAGGATGACACATACGTCATATCTTTATGTAGCATAATAAGACAACAAAATAGAAAAGAAACAGGGAATCTGAATCTTGGTAGCAATAAAAAAAGAGAGTCCATCAGCGAGCGACGTTAAAGGAAGAAAGACAAACGAGACATTTGCCACATATGATCGAATATAGTTCATGTGCGAGAAGAGATATCTTCTTATTTGCTATACTCCTACTATCAACTCGTCTGTGTTCAGTGTGTCTTTTTGCTTATAAACAGAACAAGTGAAGAACATGCGCGTACAGAAAAGGAAAAATAACGTGTTTCATATATTTCACACAATAGAGAACTAGCAAATAAGATATCTCTTTTGGAATATGCGTATTTTTCTGTTCTCTTTCTTTTCGATCGACACATTGAGACAAAAGAATCTTCGCACATCAGATATCTTCTGTTTTGTGTATATACTTCTTTATACACTAGAACAAAAAATTTTCTTATTTGACATATATTTTGTTTTCGTTCAAATAACACGTAGGCATAGTAGTGAATACTGTTATATTAGAGGTGAAGCGAATCAGTAGCGATATTTGAAATACAACTACACAAGAAAAGCCTTTTTTCGTCCCTTCAATCGCTTGCTCAATCTCACCTCACCTCACAAACTGATTTTCAGCAAAAAGATATTTTACGCACTAAAGCATCAGGGAGGCACACCACTAATCATCTTGAATAGCTTCTCAGGAGAAAACATAACTGAAGAAAAGAGGCAAAAAACGGGTGAATTTCTTAGACCTTTTTGGTAGACAAGAGATCTTCACCCAAACCACTCTTGCTAACAAACCATTACCATTCACTAAAGTTGAAATTGTTGATATTTTTTTATGTTCAATCATTGGACTTGTTTCAAAAACTTGCTGTACTAAATAAAGTTAGTAATATCTAGTTAGTAACATTAAGAACGATAAGTGGAAGTACTAAAAACGATCTAAACTTCAGTTTTAGTGATCATCTGACGTTGTTGCAACTGTTGGTTCTTGAAATGGTTTTTGTATCAGATGTACTAATAGGCCAAATGGAATACCCAATAGTGCGCCTTTTCCACCGGATAGCCCACTAAATTTCGTTGGCAGTCCAATTACGAATCCTGTCACACCGCCCACAATAGCTGAATACAATGAATATCGATCAGCACGTAATTGACCTTGTGAATGTCGTAAACGATATGATCGATCCCATATTCTATATTCGTCATATTTTTCTTGATATAATTTCGCATGCATAAATGTAACACTCAAAACAGCACCAGCTACCGCTCCGTACATCGTACCAACACGACTCAATATTGGTCGTAATTGTGGATTTCGTTTTGATTTATAAAGTTGATAAGGAAGTACGGTTGCTAAGCCAACAACAGGAGCAACTTCAATGCCCTTGTAAATGCAATGAAGTGTTAATTCACGTAGCGGATGTGGAATAAGCACACGTTGTTCATCATCTAAATCAGTGTTAGCATTTGCTTTGAGTGTCATGACAAATTCAGAAAAATATGTATAACTGGATTTGGTGGTTCACAATTGATTGATGAGTGGCGTAACGTGACCCTCTTTTTGTAGACAAAAACAATGCTTATTTCTTATTCCCGTTTATATGTAATGTAGTTATTTCTTGTCGTCCTTCATTATTTTT